TTGAGTCTCTTATGTCCTGAGAGTTTATTACTATTGATATTTTTGGAAATCACCACCCTTTTCTAAATTAAAAACTTGTAAGTTATTCCAAAAGAAACAAAAGGTAGAAGTTTTATCCAATGGAACTCATAACATCTAAAACCAAGCAAATATAAACTGCTAGGAAGTGCACATCATATATAGGCTGATGTTAACAAAACATATATAAATAAAACTAAAAATCAGAGAATGATTTTGAAGAGGGAAGGTTATGGTAATAGAATAAAGAGTAAAGGATTAGTTAGAAAGATTTACTGTAGAGCTAAAGGGTGGCTATTTTGGATGTCAAAGCGGATGAAAAATGAAATGGGGGCACAATTAAAGGAGTGGCATGAGAGAGAAGATGAAACAAGATTTCTAGTTTAAGTGACAGGTGTACTTTTCCAGATAGTGATAGGGACAGAAACTAGAAGAGAGGTTGTTTTTAGAGTCCAGTTTTGAAAACATAAAGCATGCAAGAGAGTATCTCAATTAAGAACATCAAGATATGAGACTAGAATAATAGAAATGTTAAGACAGGCAGTTATGCATTCCAATATAGCAGTTAAAGCCACAGTCAGAAAATACTATGGAAATAGAGAGTGAACTTGAACTTCGTTTGTCTTGACTTCTAACCTATTTATTTCATGTCCATTTTGCTTTTTGAATCTCTTACCCGTGCTCTCTGCTCTGTTTTTCTTTTCATTTATTATTTAAAGTATTCTAATTCAACCATACCTTTTGAGAAATTCGAGGAAAAGCAGGTATGATTAAGGGCTAAAATAAAACCTCTAAAAGAATCTAATAACTTCAGAAAACATATTAGCTTACTTTGCAGTACTTTTTTTGCTTCAGAGATGCCAAGAGAGGATTAAGCTATAATGTCTTTGTTTGTGATTTTGCCTTTTATTTCAGTTTAAATAATTAAAGAGTTCCCAGGACTGCTTTACATTTATTCTGTTCATCAAAACATACTTCTCAAATGTTATGAAAACGGAGTCCAAAAATAATGTGGTCCAAACCAAACCCATTCAATTTTCTCTTGGAACACAATGATAAAGTCATACCTTGTATCTCTTTTTTTAACTCAGTAAACAGTGTGTTGTCCCTTAATGCATAATTCTTTAGGGCGTTCACTTTATGTTCTCCCACTTCAGTATTTGAATATATCCTGGTGATACATGTAGCGAGATGCATGTAATCAGGCATAATACAGTTATTTCGCAATTACTGTTTGAGGATTAAATCCTCTCTGCATTGAAGTCACAGAGGGTCACTCAGTGTGTGTGCTTACATTATGCTAGAAAGGAAATAGAGTGTTAGGAACCTATATTTTGATCACTAACTATGATGAAAGATAGGGGAAAGAAGTTTAAGTAGCAAAATCAAAATAGTGTCTCTGTTGTTGTTGAGGTTATGGGAATCAGGAGAGAAACGGACTTCTCAGTCTCAGCTCATATTCATAAAATATTCTCTCATCTCTTGCATCCTATTTTCATGTAAATTTGAGTCCCACCTGATCGCGTCATTGTGCTGGCCAAAAAAAGAGTGGGTTTAAGAAAGTGGTTCTCATAGGGACCAAGTATATTTCATCAAAAAAGATGGTAACTTCTTATGTTGAAACTCTGGCTTGCTGCACCTTTCCCAAACTCACTGTAAGCAGAGAACAAAACTTTCAAACGATTTTTTTTTCTGTGAGTTCTCATTAGAAAGCTGAAATAGGCACCCAGGAAGGATGGAAAAGTAACTTGAAATACCAGTGTGTAGCAGAAAAATGCAACAGCAGAGCAATTTCAAGCACTGAGCTGTTAATTCTGGTTTTAGTAGGTGTACTTTTGAAGAGGTGGTCAACTAAGCTGCAGGATCTGCCAGAAATACCCCTTCACATTGAGAATGGGATGTGCGTAATAAGAGAGATGTGAAAGAGGATAGGAAAGTTAGTGCTCTCCAGCTCTGGGAATGGAGCTGCTGCTAAACCTTTGTTCAGACTAATGACAAGATATTCTGCTAAACAATCCAGATTCAATTTTCAGTTGGCTAAACTGGAAATGTCCTACAAAGTACTGAACCAAAATAAAAGAACTTGAAGTTTGAACTAAACACTATTTTTGATATTTAGAATCAGCAATTAGGCACTTGGTGAATGTTGCAAAAAACCATGGGTTCTGTTTGGATCAAACAAAGAGTATTTAATATAAAAATGTACAATATAATATGTACAATGTATATCCTCGTATGTTAGGAGATGGCCATGATCTAAACATTTGTGTAAACCAGCCTTCTCGGGGGTGTGTGTGTCGGGGGGTGTCCCATCACTGGCAGTTGGAAGCATGGTGGTATCACCCCAGCTCAGTGGCAAGTTGAGGATCGCCATTTGGGAGTCACAGTTGTAAGACGCAGCACAATCACTTTGCACCGACATCGTTTTATACTTGTGATACAGGTGCAGAAAAAAGGTAGCAATGTTGGGAGTGAGTATGGCTGCTTAGGGGAATGTGAATTGTAGCTTCCTTTTTCTGTTTCCTGGTTGTGCCCACTCTCGTTCAGACTGTTGACTTTGGAAAGGTTGAAATAGCAATGTAAGAAGTTTCAACTTCAGCAAGTATTAGAAGTTACTTTAGCCAAATATTAGACAGACGCTCCACAGTCTAAATGGGTTTTGTACTTGAAACACTGAACTATATACATGTGAGATAATCTAAGGCAACATATTGCAAAGGGAAACTCTTACTGGAACAAATCTTCAGAGGTACTGTGTTTGTAGTGCAATGATAAGGAGCCTAATGAAGGGCAATGTCTGCATTGTCATCTCAGGAATGTTGTATCCTTTTATATTACATTACAGTACCAATATAGCTATGCTTTTGACTGACTTTATCACAAAACTGACTGCATTTGGTGTTATCCTTAAGCTCTAGCTTATGAAATCACAAGACCATCTGAGAGCTATCAGATTTTATTTCAAACAGGAGGATGTAATTCTCACGGGTTCCAGAGAGAAATCAGAGAGACAGCACAAGGACCTATATTTTTGTTTAAAACAAGCAAAGAAGGTGATATTTAAAGCCTACACTAATGTCAAGAGATCTGCACTATGATTTTGGATGTTTCTTATCAGCAGTACTAAGCATTGCAAAAAGAACAAAGGCATGGCTCTAAAGCTGTGCTCTTTTGAGTGTATGATACAGCCAGAAGCTTTGATGCTATTCTTTAGTAGGTTTTCCTTACTAGGAAATGGTAAGAAAATACGTTGAAAAATGTACCAAAGTTGTTAGCAATGTTTTACCAAGAGTGCCAGTCTACCTGGATCCTGAATTTGATCCAGTCTGGCAGTTTCTGTGTTCCCAAGATACGGGAGGAAAGGCACAAGGGTTTTGTCTGCATCCTCTTTCTGTAATCGGCAAAAAGTCAGCCAAACATTTCTAGCCTCCTCCAGGAAACATCCCTGATAAGTATAACATTTAGACACTTAATGAGCAGGATTAATGCACACGCTTAAGTCTGAGGATATTTTTAAGTGGTACACTTTGAATCTGAGCCGTAGAATAGATGATTAAAGGCAAACAGCAAACATTTATGAATTTCTGGACTCGTATGTATAAACTATGTAATCTGCAGGCTTGGATTCACTTGTGGGAGGTTAATTAACTTACATCTTCTGTTGTTTTTGTTCATCCAAAGCAATGCTGTATCTTGTCTCCTTTTCTTCAACCCAGCACACCAGACACCATGAGGTAGAGCCAAACTGCAGCGTGACGTGAAAGTTGGAGAGGGGTTCCCTTTGGTGAAGTCTCATGCTTACACACCTGTGTATCGTGTGACTGGAGAACAAAATGTTTATGTCACATGAGCTAATGCAGAGCGAGGACTATGCGCTCAGATCCGTTCTCCACATCACATGAGAATTACCTGCACCTGTGCCTAAACTCTTGCCTGCATAGATGTAGATATTTTACAGTAAGGAAATAAAGAATGTGGAAGTAGGCTTACAAACCAAGGGTGAATGGGCAAAGAGTTGATGATTCAGGGCCTTTAGTACTGATTAGAGAAAACTATGAAAATGTATAAGAAACATTCACAAAAAATAGGATTTAAGTTATATCAAGTGGATGTGTGTCATTTCTTTGCTTATGACTTTATCTGCATTGTCAGTTTAGATCATAAATGTTTCAAGATGCCAAGCACACATTTAGTTTACTGTTGGTCTCACTTCTGGCTATTTCACCGAGTGCTTAACTTAGAGATATTTTTTTTCTGAAACGCCAATATGGGGTGACTGCCTGAGAATCTCAGTTGCTAGTCTCAAGTAAAGTTCGTTTCTAGTTCTCCATCATGGAATAAGGCTTGAAAACTTGAACTTTGTAGTTATAAGCATCAGAAGAAAATAAAAATAGCTTGATATGTATTTCAATAATGTAATTATATCTCATTGTCTTATAAGAGTTTGAGGCAATTCAAAAAGTCACATGTAAGTGTTTGAGATTGTCAGCACTGGTTTCTATAGCTTAAAAATTCTAATTCATTTTTACATAATTTGGTAAAGATACTTGGCAGACAAAGTAGCTGGTAAGAGATAAGAGATGACGTAAGGAGCCTGATATTTGCCCAGCAGCCCTTCCGTAGGTGACAGAATTGACTTTATCTCTTCATTATTACGACTAAATTTTAAAAGAAATGGCATCATTTAAGTATCTCCATTATATAAAATTGATGATTGTATTTGGTGTGTGGAGATTTGTGTGTGTTGCTTATTACTACATTTTTATTCTATGCCCTTTTTCTCATTTCTCACGTTGAGACTTTTGTCTCATTTTCTTTAGGTTTGGGGGATTTTGGTTGTCAGCTTTTCTTTTTTCAGAATTGTAGTGTTTGTTTCTTTCATTTCTTGACGCAAATGCTGCAGTTGCCTAAAGTGTGGCTTCAAGCAGTCCTTTGTGTGACTAAAAGAAATTAGCTAAATAGCACTGTTTAATTAATTTCAGGACCGCCTCTTTTTCGTCATGGAATATGTAAATGGAGGAGACCTAATGTTTCAAATCCAGCCTCACGGCAAATTTGACGAACCTCGATCCCGCTTTTATGCAGCAGAGGTCACATCAGCACTCATGTTTCTTCACCAACATGCGTCATCTACTGGTACTTTTTTTGATCAAAAGTAAAGTATTCTTGAGGCTTGGGGCTGGTTTTGGCTGAAATCCTCTGTCTCTTAGCAACTAGATTTAGATTAGTTGTTTGTTCCAATTTGCTTACATAGAACTTTTTTTGGCTGTTTATTATTGAGAATGTTAACATTTGAATAGCCTCTGCAGCAGTCGCCAGCTGTGTGTGCCAGTTTTGTATTATAGTCCAAATAAAGCGGTTTTGAAAAAGCTTGGCACAGTGCGACCCAGAGGTGACCTTTCTGCAGATTGGCGCAATCTCTTCACTTTCCTCCCTGTGCCTTAGATTTCCTCTGGGTTTCTAACTCCCTGCCACTTCCTGAGTTTGTTTGTCCTACTTGTCTCCACTCTGATACGATCGGGATGGTCGTTTGCAATGCTTTGCTTATGCCCCTTCCTCTTCACTGTTTGGGTGAAGGCTTAGTCACCAGCAGGAAGTGGCTCTTTGCAGACAATTTTGATTTGCTTGCAAGTGCCCCGCATCTATTTGAACCTCCGCCCCACCGCCCCCAGATCTCTAACCTTCAGCACCCATGCACGCACACGGAAAAAGTGCATATTGTTGCACCATGGTGAAGAATGCGGGATGGGCTTTTATTATTAAAAGCAAGGAATCGCTTTGAAAATTTTCACCCTGGTGTCCATGTGTTTATTTGGTTTTAGCAGCCTGTCATTGCGTGCGATAAATTTGGGCTTTCAGAAGCCGAGCGCTTTACAGGTTTTGTGGTACAGGTCTGTCCTGTCTACTAAAAATTCTGGGGTCTGTGGATCTAACCGAGTTTTGATGTTCTTTTGATATTCTCACCCTCCTTCACCTTATCAGTTTTGATTTGGGGTAGTCATCTCAGGGCCAGGCAGTCTCAGATTTCTTGAGCCAAAGCATCAGGATGAGGATGTGGAATTTGTCGCATCCCTGGATTCGTATTAAGTTTGCTTTCAAGAGTACTAGAAATTGAAAGAAGTAAATTTTAAATGTTTAGTAATCAAGACTGAATGGTAACTTCCATCAGAGGCCGGTGGCTTTCCCACCAATGGGGATTCAAAGGGAAACTTCTCAGAGAAGGAGTCTCCTTTCCAGATACATCACAAACAGCAGGACATTGCATCTTCTGAGGAAAATAAATCTCTGTGAAAGTGGTCTTTCAGTCAAAAATCCAGGTTCCTTTAGAAAGCTTTTTTGCTAGCTGCGGCTCTAAATCTCCATCTTTTGTTAACACTGGTATGGGGTTTGCATACTGGGTTGGACTTTCAGCCCTACCACTTTGCATGGGTTCGTTTTCAGGTGCTGAAGATCCAACATATTTCTTAACCTTTGCTGCCTGTGTCGCATTTCCTATTTGCTGCATTTATTTCCAAAGCTATGTATTTGTAAACTTAGATGGTACAAGATGGCAACTTTGGAATTTATAAGTATCCATCGTGAGGGAAACAAACAAGATTGGTGCTTTAAAAAATGAAGGATTTTGAGAATTTGTCTCCATAAAAAGACTTGAGCTAACTTCCTCTTCCTGAAAACTGGAATTTAGACACTTTGTAATTGGCGGTCAGTTTAGTGATTTCTGTGAACCAGACAGAAGAATCGGTAAAGTTACCTTCCCCATTCTTTGTATGAGTGTGCGTTCATTCTCCCTCTTCCCTCCCTGCTCCCATCCTTCGACACACATCCTCTTCTCTCTTCTCACTTTCTCTTTTCTCCCTCTTTTCCCTTGTTTTATATGTAGCTTCTGCTGTATGTTGGCTGCTAGCTGCATTGAATTGCTTGTGTGCCTGTGTATTTTCTATGACTTGTTATTGTCAAAATGCTTCGATCCCCAGAGAAATGTTATTTTGATGAGACAATGCTTTGTAATTTAAATTTTGCAAGCTACTCTCAATTTCTGATTCAGAAGCTATGCTGACATGTCTTTGGCATGCTATAGTAAAACACTAAAACTGAAAATGGCGTGTTCTATTTGGTCTATTATCAGGAAAGCAGAAGAAGAGAAATAACATGAGGTGTAGGATGAAAGCAGAAACTAAAAAAAGCAACAGGAAGAACATTAGGAACAGATTTAGTTGTACACTGCTTTGACACAGGCTTTTGGATCTGGACATAGTTTTGTCCATAAGAATAACTCCTTTTCCCAATGAGGGGATACTGGTAGCTTTAACAATTCATAAAACGTATATCCCAATTAGTCTATAAAATATAAGTAGAAGGAAGAAGTTAGAGATTATCTTAAAGGAATTTATTGTAAGAAAATGTCACAATTCATTCATAGTGTGCCAGGCCTTGGGAGAATGCATTTGTTGATGTCAAACATATGTTAGAATAGTTGTCTTGCACAGAACAATTTCAGCCTGATTATTCTGTACCTCACTGCATCATTTATTGCAATGTTAAAAATGCATTGGGGTCAAGTCACTCCTTTTCATCTCCTAAGCTCTTATTAGCTGGCAAACAAGGAAAGGAAAGCGGGGGAAAAAAACAAAGAAAAAAAGAAAAGAAAACCTATGCTCCTAAGTAACTACCAGTCATAACTACCTAACGTGCCTTCAGATATTTTAATAAAGAATACTTGTCTCCTGTGTAATTATATCTCTAGAAAAAACATTGCGGTGTGAAATTAATGGTTATTCTCCAAAGTGGGAAATGCTGCTTCTGTGGGCAATACTTCAAGGAAAGTGGGGAATATATAAATAAATCAAGATGTTTGATGGAAATGCAGGTTTCAAAATAGCTGCTATACCTTCTGATCTTTTTTCAGCCATGTATGTGGAAGTATTTGTTTGGAGCTAAACATAGTTATATTTTTGGAAGTAAATAACTAGCTTTAGCTCATGCTTTGGCTTGTTGGTTAGAGTTTTAGAAAGTGCTGTGATGATACTAAATGATCATCTTTTATAATAACTAGTTTATCCTCATTTCCCCTGAAGTTCAAAGAGAAAGCTGGCTCCCTGTTTGGCAACAGAAATTATTCTGTAAGTTCACATCTTTGCAACTGGCCCCACAGTTGTTCCCAGACTTGTCCAATTATCTGTATGCTTACTGAATTACGTACCTTTCTTTTGTTTACTGAGTTTATATTGCAAATAAAGATGAACCTCACAATTTTTATATATAAAGATGCTGCTGTTACTAAATGCATCTTGTGTGATAGATAAACTTTAGGATAATTTTCAGTGTGGCATTTTTAAAGGTATAGTGTTACTGTTGTGTCAAAACCACTTCAACAACTTAATAAAAATATTTGCGTTGTCCCTGCCACCTTCCCTCTCCTCTGGCATTCAGCTATTCAGGCACATGTCAAGCTGGGGCCTGATAATACAAGTAGAGTCAATCAGACACCAGAGACGTTTCAATCGCGGTTTCTGGCAATCATTGTTGTTTATGTTATGCAATTGCACCACTTTGAAAAAATGTATCCAAGCTTCAGGAGTTAAGGACTAGACTATGAATCTCATTTTGCCTGTAAACTGAACTGGACTTTGAACTCAGTGATGAAAGGTTGTGGGCTATGTTTAGTGTCACCTGTCCCTGCGGTCTGGTATATTTAAAGTCAGTCATCGTCAGCTTAATATATATTCTCATATAGGGAAGATGCAACAAACTGGGTGTTAAGAAACTGCCAGTTCTGTGCTCCCCTCTTGCACTGACTTTCAATGTTCCTGTGCGCTTTCCGCAGATGTATGTAAATATTACATGTTCTTGATCCGTCTGCAGTTGTTGTGGTGAGGACAGGAATTACCTGGGTGCGTGTCTCCAGCTCTCCTTGTAGAAGTTCAAGTGAGGTGACACAAGTGGCCCACTCTGACCTGAAATACATACAAAGAACTGTTGTGTCCCCAGGCAGGGACATCAGCACTAGAATGGGGAACCACTTCGTTAACATAAATGCCAATGTCCCTAGTTCTATTTTATCTAGGGAATAACTGTGTGAACTACAAACCTTGTTTCAGTGAAGACCTGGAGGGCCAGTAGTTGCACCATCTCTTACACGCTCCAGGACCATTCCAGTGATTAAATGAGGTGCTCTCTCTGAAATACAAAAGAAGGAAACTGAATGTACACAATTTTGGTTCACCTAGGAGGATGAAAAATATATTAACTGGGAAATTAGTGTCACCTTCTTTAAGTTAACTCACTCTTTTGGTTTCAAATGTAAGGTCTGTGAGATGTTGCCTTCAAATCCTGCAGCACCTGGTCGCAGGGGAGTCCTCATTTGTAACTATGGGTTATCATGTTCCTCAGCAATATGAAGTAATAATCCAGCCTGTAACTTGCTGCAGCTTTCTGAGGCTCTGTGCACTCTGTAATTAGTATGTTGGTCGTGATGAAGGATATATTAACACTGAATTGAGGAGAATGCGAATATAAATATGCTGATGCCAATCCTTGAATACCTCCGGGCTTTTTTGTTACACAGGTACCCTAAGAACTTGTTTGAACACTAACTGAATTTTTCTTTGGGTGATCAGTTTTCCTGGTATTCCCATTTATCAGGGTAACACACACCAGTGTTTCAGAAAGAACAACTACCTAAAATTAAGAGCACTTTCATTAGTGTGTTTTTATGTGAAATAAGAATATTTAGAAAGTCTGACTTCACTGGCGGTTGTATGATTCAGTGCACCCTTGGCAGAGTAATGAGGAGTTATATTTACACCGATGAAAATGTTGCATGGTCAGTGGTTAACATGTTAAAAGTCATCGTTCTCCCAACTTACTTTACTGTGTTATTTCTGAGTGGCAGCAGCCAAATAAAATTCCCCTCTTCCCCTTTTTGGGGGGCTTTTTAAAATACGAAACTAGACATGGAGCATTTTGGTCTAAATTTGTTTTTCAAGTATGTAAAGATCATATTATTGCAACTCTAAACAGGTAAAGGTTAAAATCCTGCGTGAGCTACAGTCCATGAAGGAGGGCAAGAAAGACCTTGTAACCTCAGACAGCATATTCAGACCTAAGCACGGGAATATCCTGAAC